CACGCGGTATTCAGCCTAGTGAAGTCAGTATATTCATTTATACACAATTCACTAAGAGTATTGTAATATTTCTTTTCGTCCTTTATGTACAGTAATAATTGTACATAAAATACTTTATATTTATTTTGTTCGTGGCGTTCATGCCTCATACAACTGCAGAAACAGTGTGAAATCTTAAAAGCGTTAGATAGATTGGCAGTATAGTCAATTATAGTCGTAGTATACAACATTTATTTTAAATTTTGTGTTTTTCCTAGTTCCTTAAATATCAACTGCCTGCAGATAATTAAAATAGAATGACTCAATAGGGCGTCCAACAACAAACCTGATATCTCAGTTTTTTTAAAAATATTTTTGGTCGTTTTATTCTTGTTGATTTTATTGGCCCGTCATTATTAAACAGAGTTAACAGATTCTCATTAATTTAGTGCCTAAGTATAATATTGCCTTCTATTTTATTTTTGCCCTACATCAGTGCAAATGAGTATGTATAAAAATAGAACTGATTAGGAGGGATTCACGTCCAAGTCGTACACCAAGGTCCAGGAAAGTTTTATTTGGTTGTACCTATGTATACGAAGGGAAATTAATTTGTGTTTTTTTTTCAAACAAAAAATGTTTTAAAAAATTTAAATGTTTTATTTTATTATTGTATACTTTTTTCGACACAATTAGTCCTGAAAGTTAATATCATATATTCATATACACTTTTCAGTGATCAATGTTCGGAAATTTAATAGTCTTGATTTTTTCTGTTTGGTACACTATATGGGGTTATTCATATGTCTATATTCAGTGGGAGGGTTACTGGCTACAGGCTCAAACTCCCTCGCTCACACCCGAAATGTTTGTTATTAATGGTGTACAAATATTTAAATTACTACATCCATGTACAATTTTCTTAGTGGTCATAAAACATCTCCAAATAAACATCCTCCCCCAACAGGGCACAAAAACTAAAAATTATAATGGATTCGGTTGGTCACTACATGACTATTATGGCAGGTTAATTAAAAAAAAATAATACAATGAGCTGAAAAGTTTAGTCATTGTAAGTTAAATAATTTAACCAAACACGATATACCCTATATTATGATATTTAACAAGTCATTGCGTTCATATTTTAGATTCTAAGAGGAGCGATGAATGTACTGAATTTATGATGTGCGATTTTTTATCAATTTGTTTTTCTCTATTAGAAAAATGCTCTGATCATCAACTTCGATGAAGTTAATTTTTAACAAATAAAATCTATTAGACGGTACTTTTAGAAGGGAAAAATTGAAAATTCCCAATACCAACATCACCAAAATAACTGGGAAAAACTATGTAAAAGCTATACTTCTATATATATTTATAAAAACAATATAAAAGGTTCGTATTTATAAACCTACTATGCATAATGTATGGTTATTTTAAAATTACCATTAAATAACGACGTATACAATGATAACTACTTGTTGGTTATTGCATTATTGACATACAATATTGTAAAAAAGGATAATTCTTTTAACATATCATATTAAGAACTGTAAATACTTTCTAATTTCAATAAACTGTTAAGATGTAGTCAATATATTTTATTGTATAAATTAAAATAAGCAATATAGCGTAATTTGGTGTTCGTTATTATGCACTACAACCTACATTATTGGTTTATTTTTATTTACACAATTTCGAATTTATAACTAACAATTTAAATCGATAGCATCAAACTAATTTAAGGGAAAATAATGTGTTCAAGATATTTTTATTCATCACTTCTCACTATTTTATTTAAGATTTATATTTTGGTACATACAATTTTAAACATTATTTCGTGCATCACGTGAAGACGCACTTGATAATTCTCAAGGTACACTAATTAATATGTAGTTATTATTTTTTAAATATAAACCAATTTTCATGGACAAACATTAAAATACACGTCATAAGTTTCGACTGCGTAGATTTTAAACATTTCTTTTAGCGCATAATTATATGGGTATATTCGTGGTTTATTTTGCTACGCCAAAATCTAGATTAAAATTATAGAAAAGCAAATAAATCATTTTTATTTCTCGTTACATAACATGTGAATGTATTACATAAAAGAAGTTTGAAAATATTAGTGTCTTGACGTGATATGATGTGTTATTTCGAAAAAATTTCTATTTGTAAAAGTTAACTCCATCATATACTAATTTACAATACAATTTCATTTATTAAAATTGTGTTGTCTAAAACAATGCTCATACGTTATGAGTGTTTCATTAGGTACCTATTTACCTATACAATATTGTATGATTGTTTTAAATTTGTTTAATGCCCTATAGTTATTACCTTATATGCTGTTATTTTAAACATTGTTTGTGTAAGGAAGCTAATAATACCATGAGCCTGTAATTAAAATAAATTAAACTGTAATTTGTAATACTACCCAAAGACAAATGTAAACATTTGGAGACAGTCCAAAATACATATAGGATATACCTTCATCAGAATCATTTTGATTTGTATGACGTATACAAATAATAACAATGTGTTACATAACAATTTCCAAGTGACATTTTTTGTCTCTGAATAAACACTCATTACTTCGTATAAAATACTTAATTTTTTATCCACTAATATTATATTCCTAAAAGTATAAAATTCAGTCTTATAATACCATAATAAAAAATAATATATAGTTAATACTATAATATCGAATCTAAACTCAACAAAATTATAGTCTGTGAAAATTTTTAATCGCTGAATTGACAGTAAACCTTCAGTGGCAACAACTCGAACTATTTTGTACAATTGACATGCATATTTTCACTTTTGTTTTACTCCCTCACATCGACGACCCACCAACCACATTAATTATTTTTATATACAAATAAGTATTCATGGTTGGCCACCTTGGCACCTTAAACACAGGGTAGAATGGCCACGACGAATTCTAATTCCATGTTTAAAGCTTATTCAATTTATTCACATGTTCGTTAACAGCTACGTCTACGTGTGCCGGCATTGCGTTAAAACATAATGATATATAACATGTAATTGAACCTGCCTTGTTCAGCTATTAAAAAATATGTAAAAAATTCTGTTGTGCGCATATTAGAGTGAAAAAAAAACTATTACCAAGAGTAGGTATTTATTTTTTGTTCAAATCTGCAAAAGGTTCAAATAATTTGTACTGTTTATTTTTAATTAGTTTGTGATTCACGTGCATACATTTTTGTACTTATATTAAACCTGAAATTTTATTTTATGCGTTGTAGAATTTTGTATTGATTTTTTTAACTTTTATTTTTTAAATACATAATCATTGAATGTTGTTTTTCACAATAAGCATTTATATTATTAAGTGGTGAATTATAATATATATGTTATATACAAGCATGATAAAATGTAGTGCCCCAGTGGTGACATTTTGTCTTTTGGTGTTTTAGTTTAATAAATAAATAATTTGCAAAGTATACAAAGATTGGCAATAAGTAGGTGTTCTGTATAATTAGTTGGTCCTTCAAAGTTTTAATTATATTTAGTATACTATTGTTTATTTGTTTATGATAAACATGCATAGTACATTGATAATTTAGTATTGCTTATAGGTGATAAATAAAATATTTAGAACAATACAATTAACTATATACAATGAAAAAAACCACGTTGGTCATATAGTATTGCATACTTGAATTGTGTGAAGATAATGACAATATTATGATAATAAAAATATATTCCATGATGTAATGGAATATAAAATAAAATATGTTTCTATGCCTGTTGTAGTAAACCTAGTAGGTACCTACATAGAACATTACCTAAGTAGTTACTTAGGTATATTGTCATATTGAGCTATAGTATGTACCTAACAATCTGCAGCTAATAAAATAAGTAATGGTCGTTGTCTTTAAATGTTAATGCTAATAATTATTAATTTAACTTATTAAACAGTAAAATAACTGTTATATACTTTTTAAGACATGGTGAGTATTATCGATTAGAATAATTTATTTATAGTTTCAACAATGTCCGTGAAACCTGCAAAACAATATCCCGTTGCACCACACAAACTATATACGAATAGTTTTTTTTTTACCAATTTATTATTTCTAAAGAAATAAAAAATTTAAACGGCTGGGTTCAAATAATTCGTTGCACTTCTTAAATTAATGTTTAACCACCGTGTATTGAATATTTTGTTCTCGTCGATAATCTTATCGTATAAGTCTTTGAAAACAAAACGCCTATTTTTCCCCTAAAAAAACCAATCTTTTATTGAACGTTTTATAATACCTCCGGATATAGGATATTGAGTGTATCGTGGTAAACGATTTAAGTTTAATAATAGACAGTGTATATGTATATATATAATTATACACGAACCAAAGAAATACGATAACTGTCAGGTCGGATTACTGTGGAGACCTTTGCGAATCAAAACACATATAGGTACCTTCCTACTGTCGTAATTCGATACGGGTGCGTGCAGTTTGCACAGAAATTCACTGAATTTATGAATATAAAAGAAATAATATAAAGACGATTTTTTTACGCCATCGATTGGGTAAAGATACCCTGGGAAATCTAAAGATAATAAGTCAAAAAGATTTATATGCCAATGTATATTATATACGTACCTATCTATATTGTGTTTAGTCTTGTTAGCCTCGTCTATATTATTGTGAAATGTACTATTATATAGGTATTTATTGGTATAGATAATAATACTCTTCACTGTTAATTGATCAATATTAAATATAATAACATATTAAGCATATTATATAGATTGTCACTATTGTGTATAGAGATTGACGCCATGCAAGTTGTGACCAATAGTTGTACAGACATAAAAATGAAAAATAACAGAGTAAAATGTTAACCTTAACTCTATAAGTTATAGCATATAAATGTACGTGTTTTGTGTTAATCCATGATATATATAATATGCCCGAGTAAAAATATTATTTGTAATATACAATTAAAGTACACATTTATTTCAACATTTGTTATTCATTTTTTTTTAGGATTTTCACAACTACAAAAGAATCCAGCGTTCAGTCCCAACAGCTGCATGTCAGGTAACCTGAATATTATAATAATTCTAATTTACTTAATAGTTAATATAATATATAATATATGTAGGTATGTATTATACGTAATTTTATTTTAGGATTATTGGTAATGGCTTTGGTACCTAATAAGAGTTTTAAATTGTCGTTATGGTATAATATAACGACCTCATCTATCATTGTTTTGGTCTATTGGGTTTTCTATTGTTTTTTAATTGTTTTCATTTACATACTTACTTCACAATAAACAATTATATCATTCTTTTACGTAATATTATAATAAAATACAATTATTAAAACTAGTTGGTATAAATACGACGGTACGGAAGAAAATTATACAACCTGGAGATGTTATTGGCGTGAATAAAAACATAATAATGTTTAATTGTCAGTGTGCAGATAATAATTAGATTTGAATAATTTATTTTACGCCAAAACTCACGCCTGAATGTTCGAAGAATACGTTATAATATACGAATTACGATTATTCTGCAGCGTGTGATGAAATAACACGATTGTGGTGTTAACCTCTTGTCACGAGCAATAGGGAACGTTCATTGAAAAATACCGGTTTGTCTTCAATAGCTCTTCAACCACGCTTGTCGTCTATTGAGATACCATTTCAATAGCATGTCGCTCTTTAGATTAAGATATAGGTACATAGGTATACATTATAATATACCTATATAATATGTACCTACCTAAAATATATTATTAAAATTATTTAATTCGATCGTAGAACGCTGCCGTGTACTGACAAGCACGTTAATAGACAAATTCAAACAAAATGATAATAATATAATGAATGTGCGCTCTTAAAAAATACATCTAATAAAATAAAACGCGTTTATGTGTACCTACAACTGCAACATGATGGACAACCCAAGACGTGTCGTTGTTGGCGCCACCGGACCACGTCTGATCAATAATAATAATAATAATAACAATAAATTAAATTCTTCTGGATTTGAATACTGCAGTGTAGGTGCTTAGGGTTTTTCGTCCTTGATCATTTTCCCACGACTTTTCTGTTTTTCTTTAAATATGCTATATTGTCCCGCAAGTGCGTTCAGAATATCTATTATTTTAGTTTTTTCTTTTCGTTACATTTATTTATCAAGCCATCATATTGATGTTTCGATTATTTATGATGCTTCAGTTCTATAGTTCTAACATTTTATAAATAATTAATGATGGTAACAAAAATGCATAAGTATATATTTTATTATAGTTTAATAAATGAGGCTTTTTTATTATATTGTAATATGTAATAATATTTACTTAAATGAGTTAAATGTACCATCAAGTTGTAAAGTAAACATCAATGAAATACTAAATTTCAATGACAAATTTCAAGTGCCAAATTGTCTAGCCTCAGTTTTATTATTTTCTTTTAAATTAGATTATAGATTGTAGCTACATACTTCAAAGTAGCCAAGTACTTTACACTATCGATAATTCTAAATTTTGTACTAATATAATGGTGATTCTATACAATATTCTTGATTAGACTAAATATTGTTATATATAAATTGATTGTTGTAATACTGAACTGAAGACTCTGATTTGTGCCGATGATTTTTAGTACTCTTTAATATAATAATATTGCAAGTATGAGAAAACGATGGTGCTACCTACATACACAATAACGGGATAATATCGTTCTCTTACTTTCTCAGTTATACAATTTAATTGATTTAATCGGGGAAATAATAACAAAAACGTTGAAATACGTTTTCAAATACCATACAATATATATAGGTACACCGAACCGATTATAATAATTGCTCGAATACCACTCTGAATTAATAATAATCGTTTGTATTCACTATCGTTGTTGCAGCATATTTGACTGCTGTAGCAATATTATTATTATTGTTGTAACGTAATACAATATTATAACCACGAGACTTAGATTAGAATATAAAATAATACGACACAAAAAAGGTTCAAGAGGAAGTGCGTGAAGTCGTGGAGATGTCGTCCCGGAACCGAACCTGGATACGCCTAACGTATCCCTAAGGTCGTTTTGCCGGTGGATGTATAGCGGTGTGTATGGTAGCAGCAGAAGCGGTAACAGTAGCATGTTGTCATCGTGACGATATATTATTATTATTTGTCGTCGTCTACTTAGTCGCAACAGCAGCAGTAGCTGCTATTGAAGTATAGGTACAGAGAATTCAGACAGCGGCGACGACGAAAGGAAAACAAAAACAAAACCGAAGGGCAACATAACATAATAATAATAATAATAATAATAATAATAATAATAATAATAAACATAACGAAATCACTCAAACAGCAGCCATATGTCACGGACGAGACGTCGTCGTATAGAACGTGTGTGTGTGTGAACGTACATGTAGACAGAAGGAGAAGAAGAACGTACCAGAGACTGAAATCGTGGGCGGCATTCGTCGTATGGCGCCACCGTCACCTGTTGACCTCAACATCGCATACGTATAGGTATATAATAATATACAAGCGGTGTGGTGTCGGTGGATCTCCTTTTTCTACGTTGCGTATACACTTTACTCCTCTCCTCTTCTCTCCTATCCTGACTTCTCACCTCCCCTCGCCGCCTTTTCAATCCGGCTACTTCACGTTTTTCCATATCTCCAAACACATACTCATCACACGTCTCGCGTTATAATATTCGAGTATGTAGAAAACACACACACACACACACGCACACGCACACACACACACAAACGAACATCGGAATCGGCAGGTTTACACGGTATTTTATACGCAGTCGGAACGTTCAACAGGAGAACGGCTCTCACGCGCGGTCACAGGATGTTCTCATGTCCGCGCTCGCGTCTCCGCGGCGGTGGTTGTACAACAATAACGCGTTCGTATCGCGTCTGCAATATGTCAATCCCCGGCGCTTTCCATCTCACCGAATCACGTCGTCCATTATCGTTGTTGTTATTATTATTATCTCACTAGTATTATACACACACACACACACACACACAAACACAGGCACACACATTTATTATATCATTATGGTCATTGTTGTCGTATTATTATTGTAATAATTTATTACCCATATATCTATCATATTGTACCTATATGGTGGGACCGTATAGTCACAATGAAATGTGTTATATTCATCATACGTCGAGGACGCGACCTTCGTTTGGCCGGGGGATGATTATCGTCGAATGCGTGTAAACAATTATGTATATAAGCACCTATTATATCTACCTGCCTGAGTTATTAAATTTGCATCGTAATTACTACATATTATTATCATTGTGCCTAATTATTATTATTATTATCATCGTTATCTTACTCTCCTCCACTCCTTGTGGACAAACGGTGGTGCGATCGTTTATATGCTGTATACAATATGTACATCAAATAACAAATTATTATTATAATATAATCATGTAAATGGAAGTATGCTTGATTTGATTACCTTTGCACTACAAATATTATATAAATATTTAAAACCACATCACGGACAGGCAGTATGGTTAAATTGTATACATTGATTAATATTCATCAATTAAAAGTTATTGCATAATAGGCACTACGGTACATACTACATTGTATTATAACGTTTTACTGTTAAGCTAAAACAATATTTATGAAAGAATCAAATACTTATTTAAAAAATACAAAGCACATATGATGTTCAATAAACAATATCGAAATCAACCTCAATCAGACCCCTAGCGCAATAGCAATATAAATAACGATTCGATTATATTATTATGACGAGTGGTATTGTGTAAATAAATACAATTTTGTAACGCGTAATAATTTATGATTCCATATTTGCATATCTATATATATTTAGTATATGATATCCAACTGTAAATAAAACAACACTATGCTCGCGAATCCCAGGGTAAAGCAATAATTTAATGGTTAAATTGGACAAGAAGTTGTTTAAATTATAATTATTTAGTGTTCAACAGTAAGATTTCTTTTATATATAATTTAGTCACCATAATAAACAAAGACAAAGTTTAAATTGAATATTGTAACAGAATAACAGATGTACCTACCTATTATATATATAGGGGCTTGTTCTCAATTATTTTTAAAAGTTATATTTAGCACAACGCAGTTTGTACAATTATTATTTAGTTGATTAATTTTAAAATAATACCTACACTAAATAAATTTACTGAAAATGTATTTTATAGTTGAAAACAAACTACAGAGTGATTTTTTTAACTGTAAACACTCATTATCTCAAAAAGTATTAGGGTTGTTGAAAACATTTGCTTACTTGTTCCGTAGTCATTACAAATCGACATTTTTGAAAACCAGTTATATTTTTACTATTTGTTATTTTCATTATTATTCAAGGGTTTCCTTTATTTACCAACGAACATTTTTAATTTCATGTCCCAAAGTAAAATATTTGGAAAATCGGTACCCCGAAAAATGTTGGTCTATACTACTCCACTCATCTAAACAATTGATAATACTTATAATAATTACCAACTAGTTTGAAATTCGATGTTCATGTAACAAAATTCTAAGAAAATACTTTGTTTTGGAATATAAAATTAAAAATACATTCAATAAAATAGTAAGCTTTAATAAAATCCTAACAATAAAATACAAAAATAATATGTTGTTTTGTAATGACTTCAAAAAATGTAGGTGCACTTTATTTTCAAAATCGAAAATACTTTTTGAGATATAAAGAGTGTTTACCGTCAAAAAAATCATACTATTATAACAAATATTTGTATACTACTGTTCTATTGTGATAAATACAATACATTAAAATCAATCACTATAATATTTTACATAAAAGATGTAACTAATGAAATTAATTTAATCTTTTTTATGTACAGCTGTGTTAAAAACCAAACTTGCTGTCCACTGGAGGTTTTAATAATTATTATTATATTACGAGTAATTACTAATTAGTAGGTACACAAATATTACACCAGTTGTGTGAATGTGTAATCTTATTGTATTATAGTTTTCTACTTTTCCCCTTTTTATTTTTTAACAGTTAACTCTCGTCCTAAAGC